CTTATATGGTTCGATGCGTTTTCATCTACTGTTTCCAACGGTGAAAATTGCAGCTGTCTACTATTTTCCTATCAAAAGTTGTTCAAAAAATACCCACCCGCCTTTTATTTTGAAATGGGCAATAGTTCACTTTAGACATGAGAGAACAGGAAAGAAAATTTATTGGTTGAAAGAAATAGCCAACGAAACAAATTCAACGAGAAGGAAAAGAAAAAAAATATCTGAAATATACAGATGACGTCTATAGATGACAGTGATATGCATATCATTGTCATCTATAGACGTCATCTATATATTTCAGATATTTTTTTTCTTTCCTTCTTGCTGAATTTGTTTCGTTGGTTGTTTCTTTCAACCAATAAATTTTCTTTCCTGTTCTTTCATATGTCTACAGTGAACTAAATAGTACCAATATTTTTGAGCAATAATTATATTAGATGATTATTCTTTTTCTTTTTTTTTAGTTTTTAGTAAGTGTAATGTTTATTACATCCGTAGACGTTTATAATATTTTTAATGTTTTTTCTTTTATTTTTATACATTAATTGGTAATTTATAAAAGTTATTTTTTTAGATGATAGAAACTTATTTTTCAGTTTATATAATGAAGAAGTCAATTAATGCACATATACTTTGTATTGATGTTTTGTATGTTAGTCTATTTCAGACATATCATAACTTTTTATTTCTAAATTTCGTCTTACAATATTTTTCCTATGACTAGTTTCATATAAATCGTGATTTAAAAACAAGACAGAACTTAAGATATTGACAACGCATTTAGGAAAGGTGTTTTTATTCCATTCAAAAACAACTTTTTAATTCGCCTGAACTTACTCACATACTGATATGAAACAGTTTTTTATTTATGAAATATTAAATTTCGTTATCTTTTATGATTTAGATTCTTCCTGACGTTTGATGTAATCGCAAACGCTGAATTCAATGGTCTATAATTACTGGCACTCCAGTTGATCTTCGAAAGAGCACGTTTACTTTTGTATATACAGATTTTTTTTACAGTTTCTAAGGTACACACTCACGCAAAAAATAAGGTAGGTAAATAAAGAAGATCTCTTTAACTATCTTATTCTTCGTGTGAGTGTGTACCTCAGAAACTGTAAAAAAAAATCTTTATTTACAAAAATAAACGTTGTCTTTGCGAGATCAGCTAGAGTGCCAGTATATATAGGTCATCGAATGCAGTGTTTGCGATTATATCGAACTTCAAGAAGAATCTAAATAGAAAGGTATAAAGAATACGTTTCGAACACGCGAACGCTTTCGGAGCACACGAACGCGTTCTTTAACCGTTCTTCTCGACTTGGGTAGTATATTTCTTGTGAAGTCCCTTTGATTTGCTTGACGGCTGACAGAACTAGTTGTTTTTTTTGATTTAGTCAGCGATGGCAAAGTGTTTTCGAAGTGAAAACAAACAAAATCGACGTTTTTTGGGTTCTGCAGAAAATTCTCTGATGCATGCATCACAAAAATATCAAGGATACATGAAAATTGGCGAAGTTTTACATGTCGAAGGACCGTATATTTGTCTGGAAGCATTGCGTAAAGCAGTTAAGAAATTACAAGAACGTCATCCTACTCTACGAAGTCGCCTTCAAAGAAATCCTCAGAAAGCTAACAGTTATTTCTTAGAAGAAGATGAAACACTTGAATTGAAGATTATCGAAATAGAACGAAAACGATGTGATCATCTGACATTTTGGAAAAAAGAATGGCGACAACGAGAAAAATCAACAACAGCAATTGGTCAAGGTTTAGCTGAATTGTGGCTTTTACAGGATCCACAAGATAAAGATGATATTTCTAGTCCAAGAGAAATTGTATTTATTTGTGAACATAGTATTTGTGATGCTTTATCATTGAATAATGCTGCACATGAACTTCTCATCGGTTTATCTCATGAAAATCATCAAATTTTTGCTAAATCATTAGATTGGCCAATAACTATGGAAACAGCAATACGAACAAGCCTCTCGCGATCAAATAGAACGTTATCACTTGTTAAACTCATTATTCGAGCTTTAAGCACACGTGTAACAACAAGTCGATCGAAAATAGCAAAAATACCCTTAGGGAATGTTGATATTGCATTAGGCGACATGGCCAATCTTTGTCATACAGAAACTTGTTATGCTATATTAAACAAAGAACAAACACAACAATTAATTGATAAATGTCGTCAAGAGAAGGTAACTATTACATCTACTGTTTGTAGTGCTATTCTATGTGCAATTAATGCATTAATCAATGCTGATGGACAAGCTGAATCAAGTCTTATGGAATTATCTATGACAGCTGATACTCGTCGACGATATGTACCACCTATTGGCAATCATGATTTATGTAATCATGTATCAAGTATGATACCATTCGTTGTGTCAACCAGAGATATGTTAACGAGATACACTGATCTATGGCAACTTGCACGAACATTTGGAGGACATACAAAGAAATGTATTGATGATAATCAAATTCTTGCTCTTGGTATCATTATTGGAAGAATGTTTTCAAAGAGTTTAAATTCGCCTAAAGCTGCTGATTTTCCTACTTGTGGTATATCGAGTTGGGGAATATTACCATTTGATGAACAATACGGACAATGGAAATTTGAAGGAATGACTCCAATTATTAATATGGTTCAAGGTTTTATGCCTTTTATTACAATTCAAACTGTTAATGGAATATTATCAATTATGTTCTCAGGTCCTCATCCTGTTATTCCTTTCAATGTTCTCGAACAATTACGTCAATCGACAATAGACAAACTCTTATCTTTACTGTAGAATTTATTTTTTATTAAAAGAGTCGATTTTGTCGTGTTATATAGTTGCGAGTGAAAGCCTTCATAATGGAGTCAGCTGTTGCAGAGTTGCCATCGTTGAGAGTCCACCAGAAATGTTCTCTTGAGGGTGAGGTTTAATAAATTAGCTACCACAATCCAGAAATTTCCAATCAATCGAGTATCTTGAGGGTGAGTCAAGCTAACCAAGACCCAGATTTCGTCCTTGATTAAGGGACTCATCAGTTGGTTTTGAGGGATGAGGGTGTTTAGTACAAAGAATATGTTAGGCTCTCGTTTGGAGGGAAAAGTGACTTCTGCCCCAGACTACGGCTCAGGGCGGAATACTATGTCAAAAGCCCAGGTCTGCTCTGGGAACGAGAACACAAACGTGAAATAATAGAAAAGACTTACCTAGTCTTGATATAATGAATGAGGATGCATATAGGGATGTATGAGGTTTTATTCACAATAAAACCAAAAGGACAATATAATAAAGATGATGGGGATGAAAGATATAAAGAGGAAAACAATAACAAGATCAATAACAAGATCAACAAGAAGGAAGATGGAATAGGGAATGAATCATGTGAGAAAAAGGAAAACGAATAAACACTGGATAGTCCATGGAAGATATATATATGTATATATATCTATGTATAGAGGAAAGGAAAAGACCCATAGTGTACAACTGGACGTTAGCGGTAATAGAGTGACCTCTATTGACGCTAACAGAATAGATGATTTCAAGCTTATAATACGACCGGTTTCGACTCTAGCTGGAAGAGTCATCATCAGGTATCTTTAGAAATCATCAATCTACAAATTTATTATAGTACGGTAATACTGTTAGTGTAAGAGTAATAATTAGTCAGAAGATGGTTAGATAAGTCGTAGTATATTGTTTTCTTAGTTATATAAACAAATCAGATGTGTACGAGTCGCGATGATATCTAGATGTTTCGAAGTTTTGGAGGCAGGTTTATGAAAAATTGTCATTTGGAGGCTTTTTTTTGTATTTTTTTTTGTGGTTGCAGTATTTATTCTAAACAATAATGAAAGAAATTTCTAAGAAGAGGGGTTAAGAAAGAATAAGTATGACTTTAGATAGATATCTTTGTCCCAGTGTTATTATCCCGTCTAGAGTGAGTGATTAGGGTCGAGTTTGTTTATAGAGATGTTTCATATTTAATTGAACTCGATGAATCATGTTTTGCTGTCGAGCTTCAATTGCCTTAAGTAGATTGTGAACGGTTGGTGGCTTTTTAAATGTTGTTTTATTGCTTAGAATTGTGTTGTTGTAAACTTTTATTCGTTCGACGTATTGGTTTGCTGTTGCTTCGGCTGTTCTTATAATCTGTTGCATTAAATCGCTAATAAACGTATCGACAATTTTCGTATGATAGTCAGTTATATCGTTTCCTAAAGTTATCCATTTCCTGTCGACAAGTTGTTCGATAAGTATTGAATTAATTGCTGATAATTGCCAATCTTGAAAAGTACATTGACATGTATCTGCTGCGTCTTTTGATAACCATTGCTGAAACTTGACTATCTCATATCGTAGTTGTTGCTCGTCTTGAGTTGCTTTCCATATAAGTTTTTCTAATTGAATCTAAATAGACATTAGTAGATACACATTTATTTGGCTGCTTCTTCATGTAGGGGCTAGAAAATTTATATACCTCTGCTTTTCTTGGTTTTATCTGATAGAATTGTTCAACCAGTTGATGATCTTGAGCGTCGATTTCAAGCATCTTTTGTCGTCGTTCAAATTCTCTACGCAACTCATGTTGATGTTTATCGAGAAGCGAATTAAGTATAGGCATCAATTTGTCGATATCGATACTGGTAGGTGCTTGTTTCAAGTATTCATCGAGTTCCTTTGTATGTATTTTGATTAATTCTTGAAAATACTTTTGCCGTTGCGTTATTAATGTTTTCTGTCGACCATAACTATGATACATTGAGTTGACCATAGCCATTTTCTTTGATACTCTTCCAGCCCAGATACTTTTTGCATTGCCAATATTATAGTAGTATGTCCATGGTTCGTATTGCAATTTCGAATAATTCAGCTTATTCATGATTTCCGTAAGATGACGTATATATGTTAATATTTCTTGCTGATTGAATAGTTCCACGAATAAATCTCGGTCAATTTCATTTTGAATGCTTTTTAATAACATTTGTTTAAAGTATGCATTGGATATCTTTGAATAATCAGATAGAAGTATTGTTGGATCAATATTTGATTGTATATGTAGCAGGGCACATTTCCTATTTAATGGTAATGGTTGCCCTAAAGAAATTGTTTCAATTTCAGTGATTTAGACGAGAGAACGTGCTATATATACGAACTATCTGTAATGGATTTTGTTGGTAGACTTGATTTACGATGTTTTCTTCTAGAATGTTTTCCTTTTCGACTTGTTTGATTACTTGTTGATGTGTTCTGCATTCCTTTCAATGGCATCCGACGAAGATTTACGATAAATTGAATGATTCTAATAAAATTTACGAAGAATATCTAAAATTTTGAAAAATACATAAGAAATGGAAATGTCGAAGATATTTATACTGAATGAGAGTCAGTCGTAGAGAGTCTGTAAAAACTCTATTTTAGACGATTCCATGCGATAACACGATCCGAATTTCGACCTTACTAAAGAGACTCATCAGGAATTTTCGAAAATCATCCAGGGTAGAGAAGTAATTATACCTAAAATAAAATTATTAGCTTTGTTATAGTGTTTGTGCCTATTTATTTTAGTTACATTTTTGAATAGTCTACATCCTGTGGAGGTTTTGTTTAAATACATAAAATATTATATTATATGTCAATTTGTTGTCAGAACCTCCTCAAATGAATAACCTCATTCTATATAATCATCTTCTAATCTTTCTATCATGTGCTCCATGTGTCTTTGGAATTCTCGTCGTCTGGCTTCTTGCCACTGTAATAATTCTTCGAGTGATAGATGTTGTAATGAAACCTGGACATTATTTTGTCGAGTCTGTAACTGTTCCAGGATAATAGCTTATTCATACTGCTAAACTTGTAGCTGGGCTGTTCTTTCAGTTGGATTCATATTTTCTATTTCCAAATTGATTGC